TTTTGACAAGGATTTTTTCGTTAAGGCACTCCGTGTCGACAGGAGCCCCGTGGTTCTGAACGCGGACGAGCTGACAGAAACATTAGTGAGAGCATGTGACACGCCCATGCCGAGCCAAATAACAGACGGCGTCCAGTTTACTGGTGGAACGAGGCACTTAGCACCCTCCGCGCTAGTTGTCTCAGAGCCAGAAGATGTGTTCAGAGAGCAAGAACAGAAGCAGACAGAGAGGAACGAAGAGGAGTGCTTCGAGCGGCCAGAGCCGCACTTAAACGAGAGATAAAGCAGAGCAAGTCGAATTGTTTTAAGGAGCTGTGTCGAGACGCTGATGCCAGCCCCTGGGGCGACGCAGACCGAGTCGTGATGGCGAAGATCAGGGGTCCAACGATGCCCGCTTTAATGTGCCCAGAGAAGCTGGAAGTCATAGTGGAAGGACTTTTCCCGAAGCACGACCCAACGACCTGGCCACCTACACCATACGGAGAAGGAGAGGGAGATAACATCGAAGTCACCAACGAGGAACTCGTAGCAGTGGCGAAAGGATTGAAGGTGAAGAAAGCTCTCGGTCCGGATGGAAACCCCAACGTAGCGTTAAAAGTGGCGATCAAGGCGTCCCCGGACATGTTCAGGATGGTGCTGCAGAAATGCCTGAACGAGGGTCACCTCCCTGACAGGTGGAAGATACAGAAGCTAGTGTTGCTGCCGAAACCAGGAAAACCGCCGGGGGGTTCAGCATCGTACAGGCTTATATGCCTGCTGGATACACTCGGAAAACTCTTGGAGAGGATCATTCTAAACAGGCCGACGAAATGCACAAAAAGTGTGAGCTCGGATTGCCGGAAAGGGGAAGGGGAGATCGACGGTGGATGCAATTCGGACAGTGGTCGAGAGAGCCGAGAAGGCGTCCAAACAGAAGCGGATAGGAGATCGATATTGTGCCATGATAACGATCGACGTCAAGAATGCGTTCAACAGCGCCAGCTGGGTGGCCATTGCCGAAGCGCTGCATAGAATGAGGGTACCTGATTACCTGTGCAGGATCCTGGTGGGTTATTTCCAGAACCGGGTTCTGGTCTACGAGACAGACATGGGACAACGCTCTGGAACGGGATGTACAACAGCGTGCTTACGCTGAAGCTGCCCAAAGGAGTTGAGATCGTTGGCTTTGCGGACGATGTCGTCTTGACGGTAACAGGCGAGACGCTGGAAGAGATGGAAGTGTTGTCAACGGAGGCGATCGACATGATTGGTAACTGGCTTCGAAGGCCATCAACGCGATAGCTAGAATAATGCCGAACAACGCTGTTCCCAGCAGTAGCAAGAGGCGTCTTCTGGCCAGTGTGTCGTCATCGATACTGAGGTATGGAGGTCCAGCCTGGGTTGCAGCACTGGAAACGAAGCAGAACCAAAGGAAACTGAGCAGTACGTTCCGGCTCATGGCCATGCGAGTCGTGAGTGCGTACAGAACCATCTCGTCGGAAGGAAGCAGTATGTGTTATCGCCGGAATGATCCCTATCGGCATCATCCTGGTGGAGGACAGCGTGTGCTACAGGTCGAGAGAAGCCGGAAGAGTACGGAAAGTTGTGAGAGCGGAATTGTTGGCTAAGTGGCAACAGGAGTGGAATACGGCGGAGAACGGTAGATGGACACATCGACTAATACCGATTCTTTCGACCTGGGTGAACAGAACACACGGAGAAGTTAACTTCCACCTAACGCAGTTCCTGTCTGGCCACGGCTGCTTCAGGAAATACCTGCATCGGTTCGGACACGCAGCGTCACCCGTTTGTCCGGAGTGTGGCAACGTCGATGAAACGCCGGAGCATGTGGTCTTCGACTGTCCAAGGTTCGAGACAGTGCGAAGGGAGATGCCCGTCCTTAACGTGGAGAATGTCGTCGATGAACTGTGTCGAGAGGAGGGTACTTGGAATGCCGTCAACAGAGCAGTCACGCAGATTATGTCGGAGCTGAAGCGTAAATGGAGAGAAGATCAGCGATCCAGCAACGCCAGGTAGCGCTGAGAGTACGACAAGTGCATGAGCACAGCCATCCCCTAAAGTAGTCGCTTCACAGTGGTCCCGGGGGGGATCCAGGCAGAGGAGAGAGTTAGGAATGGGTTTTAGTAGAGCTGCACTAGGCAACTAGTGGATACCACACCGTGCCAACTTCACTACAGGCCAGGCTTCTTGAAGCTTTCCTAAACCTTAAAAAAAGAAACAACTACAACCGTAAATGGCCAAGTTTACATGAATGAGTGCCTGAAGAAACGACTGCTTCCGTTTCTCAAATCACACAACGTTCCTACAATTTTTTGGCTGAATCTAGCCTCTTGTCGCTACTCCAAGGACGTTCTGGAGTGGTACAAGACGAATGGGGTCAATTTCATACCGAAGGTTCTCAATCCCCCAAACACACCGGAGTTGCTGCCGATCGAATGATACTCCGTAAGCATCCTAAAGTTGTCAGTAGGGAACAGGAAATGTTGAACTCATGGTTGAAAGCAGGAAAAAATGTCGATTGAACCGTTGTACAAAACCTTAGGGATGGAATTAAGAAGAAATGTCGGGCATTTGGATTTGGTGAAGAAATAGAGTGAAATAAATATACGTAAACCAAGCTTATATATAGTATTACATTCCCTGACAATTTCATGACATTCGATTGAGAGACTTATTTTTGGCGAGTACTTCTAAGTAATGCAATTTTCTTGCGAAAAAGTTGATGAAATTTTTGTTTTAATCATAGATCTTCACCAGTGATGCCAACATTCCTGTTCAAACCGGATTCTCACAATTGATAAAAGCATGAAATATAAAAATAGAAATCGTGATCTCAGGATTTTTTTTTCAGAAAAATGGAAACCCTTTTATGATTTGCTCCACAATGCTCCACAATGTTCTTGCAGTGTATAACCTAGCATTTTCCCGAAATATACTTAGGCAATGTCTCAGGCATTGGTAGTGACGTTTTCGATTTATGATTTGTTGAAAAAATTTAAAATTCTACATTTTGAAGTTATTATGCGAATTTCAAAATGGCCGAGTTTTCGCTCAAATGTGAATGATTGGCCATAACATACAATTGTGCAAAGTTTGATGCAAATCATAGAAGGTCGCTTCAGATCGATTCGACATTTGGCGTGGAACTGCTCCTCTGGAACTATTTTTGAGGTGTCCTCTAGCCCTAGACTAGCCCCCCATAATGTAGGATGGATATATCTATTAGGCACTCTTGATGCTGACCAAAACATCATTCTTCTTCTTCTTCGCATATTAGTTTATTGCGTGCTCTCAACTTATTGTTCTAGATACACTGCCACAGTTATTAACTGAGAGTTTTCGATGCCTGCACCAACCCGAAAAAAAACAAACCGGACCGGGAAACGAACCCAGCCACCTCCAGCATGGTCTTGCTTTGTAGCTGCGCCTTTACCTACTGAGCTAAAGGAGGCCTAGTGTCTTCAATTGAAAACCTCAACCCCCTTTCAATAATTTTTTTAATGACTAAAGCTTTGCACATGACCAAATTTTACAACAGACGACTCCTATCTCGTTCACTAGCATTCACTCCATTTCACCGGCACGCAGATATGTAATTAGTAATGTCGTTGATAGTATCGTTTTTTTTTTTGTTTTTGAGATGGTTGATACACAGAGTTCCCACGTTTCGGCCACTCATTCGCTGTTGAGACACGCTTCCTGCTGTTGACCGTGTTCGTTGATGGCAGTATCGTCCTACCTAGTGAAAGTAACCTCATTTTGCCTTTTCCCCGCCTGCTTTGGGTTTCAATCAACAAAATTAGTCGAAATTTCCTTTAGTTACCATGAGTTCTTTTCTTTTGTTTACTTTGGGGATAATAGCAATACTCCTCTACGGGGAATGGAAGGAGATACAGAGACTCGCCGACGATGTCGTTGTGTGGAAGATATGCATATACAGAGATTAAATTATTTGTTTGGTTCGTTAGAAAAGATGCGTTTTCTTTCAACAAAACTAAATAATATAGCTTTGGAGAGGGGTAAGAGGGGCAGTAACTGAGCTCATAGCGTAATACACAACTTTACTGATAAATAATGCAGCTATTTAATATTGGAAGCATTGGAACATAACAAGCAGGTTTTGGTTTTGATAATTTAAAAAATATTTCAACTGTATACTATACTGGGGTTTTTTTTTGTGGATAACTAACGAAATCGAACTGAAACAAAAGAGTGGAACTCAAACATCGAACTGGTGGTTTGTCTTGCAACGTGAGTGCATTTTTCGATCGTTTCTTTGCCATTGTCGATACCAATGTTTGGAAAATGGAAACGAATGAACGTGGAAAGGTGCTTTTGCTTTTTTTTTGATTACATATTGTTGTTGATTGGTTGCTTGCAGTTGCTGTAAACAAACAAATGAAAACAATTCGTTCTGCCCTTTTGCTTGAGTTCTCGATGCGTTTTTTTTGTTTGTTTTTTTTTTCGCTTTCGCTGAATGCCGAATGAGTTTTTGGGCTACACGCAAAGAGAGGTTCTGATTGGCTTACTCGGATCGAGTTTTCGGGTCGTAGCCTACTGCGAGGGAGCATTTAGCGTTTTGTATCAACGTGTTGCTTTCGAAGTTTGATTTTTTGTACGGATGAAGCTAGTTATTGGTGTAATGTTTTCATCAAATTTCTAATCGATTTATATAGATAGGTGAGCGGGTGTACTGTTCGTGTGTGGGGTGAAGCGTATCTTTTAAATTTTGGTGTGTAGGTGCATGTAATGAAGGAGCAATGCAGTACTGGTTTCAACGCTCGGTGGCCGGGGATTGTCGAGTAGCGTAAATCGTTTGCGGAGAAATTTTCGAATGGGAATTTTGCGTTAACTGTTTTTCATTACATAGATTTACACCACTCTTTCCCCCTAGAATTGTTATGTTTTTTCTTTAGCCACCTCGCGTCGTCACCGCGTGTGGGGTGGATCAACTATAAGTCGGGAAATCAAGAGGATAAACTAGCAGAAAATAATCATACCCAGTAGTCAGACATCGGTTTCGATACTAACGGCTAATGCGCTATTGTGGCGTTGTTGTAAGTTATTATTCGTTCCACCTCCGCCGCCGCCACCGCCCCCACCACTACCGGGGAGGCCTCCGATTCCACCTCCGCCACCACCAGCACCGCCGCCGTTCGACGGTTGCTTACAGCAGTTTTGCTGCTGCTGCAATTGTTGTTTATCGGTAAGATGCGTTCCGTAAAATGGAACCATTCGATTTTGATCACCTAAGTTCGGCGTTGTCTCGATTCCGTCCTCCAGGTCCATCATGTCGGACGACGATTCGGACAACGAGTTGTTTTTCTTTAGATGTTGACCTGCGCGGGGGAGGGAAAAAAAGAATGAGCATTAGTATTGACAAAACAGTGTGCGTCGTTATTATGCTTTATGAATAATCATGCGTTTTCGTAGAATGCTTTCATACTTTGTGTCAACTAGTGTAAGTCAAGTTCTGTGGCAAGTGAAATATTGTACACACAGCCTAGTGCCAACATTCCATCCCCTTAAAGAGATTAGTGACGTTTAACGCACGCACACTAGCAGGAGCAACGCCGTGTAAAGTTGTTGATTATTTTCCTCTGACTAACCTAAAAAATGTATGAAAGTAGATCTGTCAAAATGAGTTTGACATCGATTTGTTATGTATTTTCCACGAATATTTACCAATTCACCACTCACATATCGCACCAATACAACCCAACGTGCAGATCTCTATTCTGCAATTCTCTGGCACTAGTGAGGTGACGAAAGACACGTTATTTGAGAGTCACGTACCAGGACGTGACATTTGACACCTCACTAGAGTCACATGACTCACAGAATAGGGGTTCTCGATGTTCAATGCTGCCTATAATCCCACATCAGTCCCAGATGGAAAAAATAGGCATCGAGAAAATGGCAGTTGAAGTTACGAAGTGCAATTCCCATGTAAATATTTGAAAAATCATAGTAAATTAATTGATAATTTTTTCAAGTTGAAATCACTCACAATGAAGCTTGCATGTTTTGTTATAGGGGAAAAGCCTCTTATGTTGGCCTATGGATCTAAGATTGGGCCCATCGCTAAAAATCTGCTTTTTATTAATTTTATCTAGGTGAACGCGACATACTGTTAAGGCACTTCCAATAATTATAAAATTTACCCTAAATGAATTTGTGCCAGTTGAATTAGGGCACTCATACTCAATTTACTTTGTATGCCACAAAGCAGAGCAGAATGCCCGTAGGTAGGATTCTCTCAAACTCTCTTCACTGATAGCCCGTATCAGAGGATCGAAATAAAATCAGTACAATAAAGCTACCGACGAGTCTAAAACTCTAAAACTCTATCGCAGTAAATAAAGTTCCGAGTATAGTAGCTCAGTGTACCGCCTTTCATCAATACTTCACATTGTTGGCTACGGTTAAAGCCACACCCGAAGGACACTATCCGCCGCGAGTCCACCACTAGTCCGGAGAACCAGCTCCCCTACAGGTCCTAATGGATATTTTTGGTCGCTATTGAAAATTAAAGTCGATTGCTGAATTTAAGTATGGGCCCAAATTAGGGGCATTTAGGCCGACATTACATTCATTTCCCATATCAGGGAAAAATATGGCAATTCAAAAAGCAGAACTGTAACTTGGACTCTGGTCGATTGAGTTTCAGGAGGGGACTGATATGCGATTACTTTGCTTAATAGGACTACTGACTTGATTTTGTTTTCAGGTGTTTCATGATCAAAGTCCGTAGTTTTATCACGCAATGTGGGTCATTCTAGCTCAAGTGGTTACAGAATTTTAAAAAGTTGTGGTCGATGTCACCGATTGGAGCCAAACGTGGCCAAAAGGCTTATTTTGGCATTCTGAACAAACGCCTTTTTTGATTTTACTCTAAAGTTCCTAGATCCCTCTCGGCTATAACCCTGGATTTTCGAGATTTTTAAAAATTTCATCTTTCAGAAGGAATTACTCCACAACCAAATAAGTTATTCGTGATATTAGATCGTAAAAAAATAAAATCTCGTGAGATTGTATCTAAAAAATAAATTAAAGGGTATTATTCAAGTAGCAGCTGCCATCCACAACTGAAATTTTATATAATCTGCTAATCTATCTAATTTCATCGTACTTTCACTTTTAGAATCACAATTAAATTATGGACAGAAGTAAATAAATGAGCTTGTTATGATTTCATGTAATGAAAAAAATCCTGCCCAGAACATGTGAAAAATAACATAAAAATATTATTGTTCCATCGGCGTGAAGGAATTTAAGAAAAAATAAAAAAAACGCAAAACTACCACTCACTCCTCTGATTGATTGATTTATCTTTATTAAGGAGGCTTTCAGCCTGAGGCTGGTTCGCCTCCCTCACTCATCTGGTCATATCTCAAAAACTATTTGTCCAAATCATTCACCCTTGAAAACACATCAAGTAGAAGAGTTTTCCAAAGTGTGGCGAAAATTTGAGCCCAAAATATATAGAAATAAAAAATCCCGCCGATGTTGAAAATAGGCCATTTTTTGACCATTTGGACACCTGTCGGTAATCCGCCTGTTTACTGTAGTAACTATAACAATAAAAAACATGTGGGTACACCTATAAGAATTTTTATTAAAAAACCTTCAAATTGACTTTCTAAAATCACGTATAGCTTATTTGGTTGTGGAGTAATCTCTTCTGAAAGATGAAATTTTTAAAAATCTCAAAAATCCAGGGTTCTAATCGAGAGAGATTTAGGATGTAGGGGCTTCAGAGCAAAATCAATAAAGGCGTTTGTTCAGAATGCCAAAATAAGCGTTTTGGCCAAGTTTGGCTCAAATAGGTGACATCGACCACAGGTGGTGTACCCACTTGAGCTGGAATGACCCATATTGTTATCATAAAATTTACGAAAACACTAATACTAACATACATTCAACTACTGAACAATATGCAGTGGTGGCCTTTAAATTAGCACAGTAGGCCAATTTTTATACAATCTAGCCAACATTGGCGTGTTGCAACCATGTTTTGCTATGATCGATTGAGCTGGAATTTTGACACAGAACTACAAATATGCTGAATTTTGCGTGTACGTAACATCAAATTATTGGCAGCGCTTGCCGGAAATTGACGGGCTGGTTGAAAATGGCCAACTAAATAGCATATTTATAATTCTAAATTTCCGAAGTCTATTATTTCGGAAATTTTTGACCATATCGTAAATAACTTTCCTAAGCACGCCGTCGTTTATTGGCAATATGGTTGAAAATTTTAAAACTACAGTCAACACTCCATAACTCGATATTTTCTATAACCATTGGCGTAGCTAATGGGGGTGCAAAAGGGCCCTCCAGAATTATACAGCCCCTACCCCCGGAATTTTTGGTGCTTTTTATTTGACTCACTGGAATTTTGTCAAGCTTGTCAAGTTCGATGTTACTATGTGTTTTAAAGTACTTTACCTATGTTGACTACTTTTCTTATGTTTTGGACTAGAAGAAGCAATTTTAAGAAATTATATTATATCGATATTTAATCGATAGCAGAATAGGACGTCATCCGGCTCTACATATTGGCCATGAGCCCAGGGATTTTTCTTTAACTTCTGTGAACGTCGTTAAACTTCAAGGACTTCTAAGAAGTTCAGGGAACATCGCAGAAATTGAGGAAACTTTATAGATCTCCAGAAAAAAAAAATCGTAGAAATAAGTAAATAGGTAAAGTTCTGAAAACTGCGTAGAAGTGGAAAATTTATTTAAGTTTGAGAATTTCGCGGAAAATCAACGAGAAACGTAGAAGTGCAGCAAATTTTGCAGTTCAATAAGCTTCTAAGAACTTCAAGGATTCTCGCTTCAGTTTAGGGAAGTTCATTGCAGTTTGTTAGTGATCTTACAAAGCTTCATGAACTTCTTGGAGGTTTTGCGAACTTCGTTAAATTAGTATTAATTAGAATTAATAGAGATTTGAAAAATATGGAATTATGAATAAATTCAGGGAACATCGTAGAAGGCAGTTCTGTAGATGCTCAGGAAATGTTGCATAAGTTACAGGATATTCTTTCAGACATCCTACACAGACAGCAGAAAATATTCAAAAGACCTCCATATAGGCGATGATATTAGTAAAGTTCTCTGCCAAGCCTTCAGGTTGATCAAGTTCTGAGGATTTTCAACTGTTTAAAAATTCAAATATTCAGGAGAAGGAAGTATTCAAAAGTTTTCCAGCTAGCTGAATCTGATGGAATCCTGAATGATGCATCTAGATTTGATAGACATGTTTGTACATTCTCTATAGGGAAGACCCGTGCCTTGGGGATTTAGCTATATTGTCAATAATTAGCACTCCAGCAGCTGAGTTCCGGTTATAAATTTCAACGAAGAAATGGAAATTTCTACATATTCCTAATATGTATAAATTTCTTTCTTTTAGATGAAATGTATGACCGGAATTCAGTTTCAGGATAGTTTGAATGCCTTAGCACATAAAAAATCGGAGCATTATGTGAATATTTTTTTATTAAATAAATCAAGAACACTGAACAAGCTTGTGTAAATAATAAATTATGTCCGTATTTCATCGCAATGTTTATCTTTTTACACGAAGCAGCTGTTTTGTGTGGATCGAAGTAGGTCGCGCTGGAAAGTTGACACATTTTTTTTTTAAATTTTGCTGCGGATTTTCATTTGGTGATTTTAACCATTTAAATCATGTTTAAACAAACTTCCGATTGTTCAATTGTTCAAAATCTCATGGGTGGGATCAAAATAGATCAGACCATGGCGGATGATAAGTGAAAAATAAAAATAAAAAAGAAAGATGCAGGAGCGGTGTTTGTTGGGACCTGTCTTAGCTGATGGGCAACGAAGATCCCAAGATGATCACGATGGTGTGAATCCAGCAGGCCTTTAGTGATACCGAGAGATGCCGGACTGTTGCACTTGATGCATCTATTTCCGAGGGCTGGCAACGAGTAGCGGTTTTCCTTAATCAAAATCCAAGTAACTTTTCTGAACTCTATTCGGGAGCTTCAAGGATTATTCGGGTGAGATCCTTCCTTTTTATTTATTTAGTTCGTAACATTATGTTCCATACAAATTGCACTAATATAGTACTAAGAAAACAAATTGAGGAACTCGGCTAGCTTAGCGGCTGCTGCGTTTGCTTACTGTGCATAAGATCGTGGGTTTATTATCAAATTTCTAAAAAAAAAACAATCATATGCTTTTGGTTGTATTGCCTGGTTGAGGCGTATCCTGACTTAATATCGCACCCAATACTCCAACTCCGTAGTACTTATGAGGGTGTCACTAATTCGGTGGCCTCTCGTTGAGTAAGTACTACATCAACATT